AGTCGAACCCGGATGCCTCGATCGATGGATAGCTGGAACGCATGCACGGATTACCCATCAGTTCGTGTGTAGCAGCTATGACCACCACCACCGCGCAATAATTATTAACATCATCGCCTTTGGTTTCGGGGTTAATGAGGGCCTTTTTATCTCTGAAATGCTTGGGCACCGGTTTGTTCAATCCACCGGCATGTAGTTTACTATGTCGAGATAAACGGTGTTGATTTTGTCTACCACCCATCCAGAGCCCAGGTGGGTATATTTCTCCAACGATTCTTGTATTTTTGGGAATGACGCGTCGATGGGGGATTCAATCAATTCTGGTTGAGTTAGGACTTCCTGTTTGCCTCTGAAATAGGGCACGATCAGGGTACTGCCGTCCGTCTGAGGTTTTTGGAGCGTCATTTTCATTGTCAGTTGGTATTTGATGCTTTTCAAATTGTTTAATTCTTCGCGAAGTTTACTGTCGATTAAGGGTTTGATTATATCGGTATCGATATTAGAATGGACCACCCTTGGAGATACTTACCCACGGCATGGTCCGTCGGCACGAATCGCAGTTCGACCGGCTCGGTGTCTTCCAGGAGTGCGATCAGCTCGGCTTTCCTCATGCGAGAATAACCAGTCAATCCACGTTCTTTAGCTAGAGCTTTGAGCTCTCGTACAGTTGGGGGCTTGTCATAGTTCATGTCGAGCAAGGCCAGCAATTCGGCTTTCCTCATGCGAGAATAACCAATCACACCACGCTCCTTAGCCAACGCTTTCAGTTCTCTGACAGTAGCCATGTTGTCACAATGGGGACATGGGTTGATGCACACTTGATGTTTGTTCATGTTCCCTGAGCCCGAAGAGTGAGGGGAACATTAATAAACATCGAGGGTACATTAACCCATGGGCCCCGAGGGACCAGTGAAGAACGTATTTATCTTACCAAACACCTCAATTTTAATTTTGAACTGTTTGAAGCACGGGTATCAGATCGTAGTACCAGAGTTAGGCAATTAGCCAAACCGTCAACTTTTCTTTTTTCTAGATAATCAAAAGAAAAGACTACATCAGTTAAGTCATAATAATTTATTCTGATAATCACTTATTATAACATATATACTAATAGATATACACATGAGAACGAACTGTGGAATACTAACAATACTAACCATTACAGCAGCTGCAGATATTCCAGCATTTTATTTACAAATAAGAAGATTGATTGTTCCAATTCTGCAATTAGAAAAGAGTGCAGATTCTTGTCTGAGTGAGTTCTGAACGTTAGTACTGCCAGCACAGTCGAAATCTGAAAAAAGTTCACTCAGTAGATTGTCAGTGAGTTCAGGGATATCAGCACTGTCTACACTGTCTTCAGGCATGTACGCACCATACAATTCCTTGTCATCTCTAAGGTTTTTAGTTATCTCCCCCAGTCGCTGCCTAAAGAAACATTGTCCATTAGGAGGATCGACCGCCACCTCAAAAGTGTCTTTTGTCATTAAGTCCATATTTTCTGACCCCTTCCGAAAAAAAGTAGAAACGAATGTCAAACTGCACTTTGTTGGCTAGTCCACTTGGTGCCTTGGAATCCATGTGAATACTGTTGTAAAGCTACTGTAGATCCAAAGAATGTATTTCTTTCTTATGTTCGATTTCACCCTTTCCTTCGGCTTTAGCTTACAGTGTCATGGTCTTGAGGTGAGGTGAGGTGAAATTTGGTTTAACGTCGTGCTGGAGAATATTTTGCTCATATGACGACGTGAATGCGTGTGTATGTGTATGTGCGGCTGCTTGTACTAGCCCAAACTTAAGCTGGTTTTATAGTGCTAGCCCACTGAGATACCATGCCGCAGTGAAGCATGAATACCCCACTCAGACACATTATACTGACTCCGAGCCGACCAGTCCTTATTGTACCCATTAATGCCGAGCGCCAGGCAGGGACCAACAAGTACCATATTTTAACGTCTTTTGGTTTGACGGGGTCAGGGATCGAATCCGCGACCTCCCGCTCTCCAGGCGGACGCTCTAACCACTACACCACGGAGGTGGTCCTCATGGTCTTGAAGCTCTCATTTGCGTCAATGAATTCGGTATCGTTTATGATAACGAATTTCTTCAGATGTGGTGGGGATTTCAAATACCGATTAAGTCCATGCCTTAACAATTCAAGTGTCATTACCTTATACAGTTTACATGTTTGTGTCCTCAAATTGACGTAGAAATTGGACAACACTTCAGCCAACCTGTGTGAATCAAACGATTCAAAGCTTGTATATTGCTGTTTTTCCCACAAGTATTGTCTTAGTAAAGTCACCACAGTGTTGTTCCCCTTCTTCATGTTAACTGGGACTACATTCGAAAGTTTTCTCAGAATTTCTTCATTGGAATGCAAGGCAAATCTTTTTGTAGCCATCGCTAGATTTTGCAGATGACAAGAAAAACAGATTGAGAGTTATCTCACTTCCATCGATTTGCATTTGCGAAAGATCGGCAATATTCGTACATCATACGTCATTCAATGTTATTCGAGATAAAGAATTGCTTCCACGAAGTACCAAATGAGTTCGGCATTCCCAGCGGGGTACATGTTGCTCGCTTGTAAGCGGGGTACATTGAAACTAATAGAAGAATGCTCAGCCAGAAAACGACATTTATGTGTTGAGGCAAGATAAGTATTCCTATTAGCCCTGTTAGCTGTATCCAATTTGACCTCCACGTGTATTGCGTCGTCATGGCATTGTGACGTCATGGGCACATTTAACTGTTTATTAGTTTTACCTGATGATGAAGCCAGAACAGGCCCCGAAACGTTGTATCAAAGAATAAAAGAAGATGAAATCCAGAAAATTCTTTTTGTTCATAAAATAGCATCTTCTAAAATGTCAGTCAATCATCTAATTTCAACTAATTTGTGTACACAAGAGGCTTTACACTGTGATCACAGTCCATTCAGGCCTAAGAAAGAAAATGCTGTTGTTACGATAACCCAACCGACCCTTGAATTCTGGTGTGACCCTATTTTTTTTTTAAGCAGTATGAATAAAAAAAGCTTTCAGATTCTATGTGAATGTATACTCGCTTTTATGTAAAATCAAACCACAAAAGTATTGACTGTTTGGTGCCACCCTGGCGGGCTGTGCAGCACACACGACGCAGGGACACTTACACCCCTTGCAGGGTTTGTTCCTTCAAGAGAAAGAGAGATATCATTGTTTTTGCCTGTCACCAACGGACATCAGTCATGCTGTCAGAGAAAGCTGACATGATGGCCACAAGCTTGAATTGAATAAACAATTACACATTGATAAATGTGTTATTAGTTTGTACTTTACTTCTTAAAAAACAATGTGAACATTTTTTATAAAAAATCATACCTTCCTACCCTTAATTTTCAGATTTTCAGATTGTTAGCTCGACAGCTAAACAACTGAGCTACGTCCACACTGTTACACAATGTGCAAATTTATCGAGTCATTCCTGTGATGTCACGGAAATGAACGGAAAGAGTCAAATAGGTCACAGACAGTTACGAAGGTTACGGGCAGACTTGGTGTCTCGTGATATTAATCTACAGACAATTACAGAATGGCCCTGATGCCTTGGGCACACTCGTCCCATTCTGTAATCTACACGATATCATGTGGTGTGGAATGAGCCGATATGGCTCACACTGAAACGGTTGTTTATGTCAGGCGTCAGACATCGATTTCACGGTGCATGCATGAATGACATGCTTTTATAAAATCATCGGGTTATTTTGTGACAGAAAAGTGAGGCAGGGAACACTGTAAGGATAATGTGGACCGCACTAAGGAATAAGGGAGACATGAGCATGTCTAGATACAGCACGAGGGTGGGTTAGCCTTCGAATCATAACTGAACAAATGTTGCGTGTGAAAGAGGCTTGAGTGCAAGTTCCAGGCCAATTTCCATCAGCCCAAAATTTCTACATTAAACCATTTCATCAAGTATTTTCGACGTTGTGGTCTCCCGTTTTTGTGTGAAAAAAAAGTATTAAAATGCAAAAGGAAAAACAACAAATGGTACTCATGCATTACACCGGACATCTACCTACTATATTGGATTAGATCCTTAACCCTAACCCTAACCCTAACCCTAACCCTAACCCCAACCCCAACCCCACCCTAGCCCCTAAACCCTAGCCCTAAGCCTAACTCTAACCCCTTGAAATAATCCTAACAAATAGAATAAATTGACCAAACCGGCACCCTTCAAAAAATAAAATACTAAGTAACTCCATTTCAATGAAATGGTGCAAATTACTGAATGAAATAAAATATATGTATATCAGTTGACATCTGTAAATCATTTAGTCCAAATAGTTATGTTGAAACCGAAATATAAAACATTAAATAATAATAATTGACCAAAACTGCGAATAATAGAATATGGCAGAATGTGACCAGTGTAATGCATTCTTACTAAATTTAAAAATACAAAATACAAAAATACACAAAATGTAACACCTAAGTGAAAAAAGAAAAATATTTTAAACTGGTGCTTGTGAAAAATTGCGCATACGCTGGTAAACAACTACTGGAAACTTTCAACATCGTTGGGCTTATGCAATAACATAGCTGGTAGAGATGAAACATCAGTGAGTGGAGCTTATATGCACTCGCTGAGCTAGACAACCGTGTTGCTATGCAGTCGTCATAGGGCATTGTTTCGAGAACATGCTTTCGAACAAAATCACATAAAATTACGTAAAAGGGTATTATGACGTATTTTAGTTTGTGGTGCTGTATTCTAAAGGAAAGCCAAGAGGTGTAATCAGAACCACATCATCATTTTTATTTCGTCTCAACTGTATTGACTTTACCCCATTCTTGTACACGTTTCCATCCATACTTTCCTTTCTTGAATCTAGACTATATGGTAGCTCTTAGTTGTAATAAACAAGTTGTTCACCTATCTTATTCTTACTTTGCACCCAAACGTCTAAATACCTCTCAAAGAAGTTAATATATGATGGTTTCAGCACTTACCAAGATAGGTAACATTTTCACACATCTCCTGACCATCTTGGCTCTTGTAATACTGCACGTGTTCCTTCTGGTTTGGGCCAAGTATAAGTGTTGATATTGGAACTGAAAAATGTGATTGAGTAACAATAAAATACAAAACATTGGCCACAATATAGGATAACAACACACATACCAATGAGTAGATGTTGGAAATTTCAAGAAGAATTTACACACTACTCTTTGTGGTGTAAGTGCTGTGGAGTAAGAGCTGTTGGTGAGATTATGAGTAAAATTAATAAACATGATTATGAACGTAAGTCAAGATGTGCCAAGAACATTGTTTTATACTAGATAGTGTAACACCAGGATTTACTTTAGTAATTCAATTTGGATTTGTTGACAATCATCCAAAAGATGCAAGAAGGTTAGTGGTTCAGCCTATGTACGGAACATACCATTCTGATGCTGATTTTTTTCATTGTTAAGTTAGGACCTCAGCTCATCTATGAGATCAGCTTATCTAAGGTAATGATACAGTAATAATTTCACAGTGCATCCCCTATTACACTATATTCTTAGCTTCAACCTATGGAAACAGCTACCACCAAGCATAAATTAACAAGGGTGACAGGTGCAGATCAGGAACTCTAGATAAAAGGCTTGGGTGCCGTTGTACAAAGCGATCTTAGTGCTAAGGTGACCGTAACTCCCATACCTTAACATAGGCTTAAGGTAGTCTTAGCAATAAGGGGACCGTAACTTCCATACCATAACATAGGCTTAAGGTGGTCTTAGCAATAAGGGGACCGTAACTCCCATACCTAAACATAGGCTTAAGGTAGTCTTAGCAATAAGGTGACCGTAACTCCCATACCTTAACATAGGCTTAAGGTGGTCTTAGCAATAAGGTGACCGTAACTTCCATACCATAACATAGGCTTAAGGTGGTCTTAGCAATAAGGTGACCGTAACTCCCATACCTTAACATAGGCTTAAGGTAGTCTTAGCAATAAGGTGACCGTAACTCCCATACCTTAACATAGGCTTAAGGTAGTCTTAGCAATAAGGTGACCGTAACTCCCATACCTTAACATAGGCTTAAGGTGGTCTTAGCAATAAGGTGACCGTAACTCCCATACCTTAACATAGGCTTAAGGTGGTCTTAGCAATAAGGGGACCGTAACTCCCATACCTTAACATAGGCTTAAGGCTTAGCAATAAGGTGGTCTTAGCAATAAGGTGACCGTAACTCCCATACCTTAACATAGGCTTAAGGTGGTCTTAGCAATAAGGTGACCGTAAACTTCCATACCATAACATAGGCTTAAGGTGGTCTTAGCAATAAGGTGACCCGTAACTCCCATACCTTAACATAGGCTTAAGGTAGTCTTAGCAATAAGGTGACCGTAACTCCCATACCTTAACATAGGCTTAAGGTGGTCTTAGCAATAAGGTGACCGTAACTCCCATACCTTAACATAGGCTTAAGGTAGTCTTAGCAATAAGGTGACAGTAACTCCCATACCTTAACATAGGCTTAAGGTAGTCTTAGCAATAAGGTGACCGTAACTTCCATACCTTAACATAGACTTAAGGTGGTCTTAGCAATAAGGTGACCGTAACTTCCATACCATAACATAGACTTAAGGTGGTCTTAGCAATAAGGTTGTTTTGTACAACAGCACCCCGGCTTCATGAAACACTGTATCCATGAAACAAGCGATGGCAAACTGCTGATGGAAAATCTCATCATATATTTTTGTAACAAACGCTTGTGATGTTCAAACCACCTGGAAGGGCTGTATTTTCTTGGATCCATTGTGGAAGTGAAGATGAAAGTCACCAAGAATCCCTGTCATCCTTGTTCTTTCTGGAACTTGGAGAGGGGAGGGAGAGGTTTATTTTCGAGAGGTTTTATTTTCTATTGTAAACTCAAGGTAAGTTGGCAATCTAGCTTTAGTCGATTTATTGAATGGACAGATCTCTGGCTCTTGATGGTATCAAGTATCAATTGATACAAAGGAATTTACATGACACACTTAGGATGTATTGTTGTACTATAACCAGTGACTTCATAATAGACCTCATAACAGGAATCATGTACATTATCAGCAATGATAATAACTCTTAGAATACTACCTCTAATAACTGATTGCCTTTTTCCTGAAACTTGTTTATACATCCACAGTTTTGGAATAGATTAAATAAAGTCCAAGGAAATGAGTGGTCTTTCTTCCATGTAGTCCATCAATACACAATCCACAAGAGTGAGCGAGTTTAGTTTTACGCCGCTTTTAGCAATTTTCCAGCAATATCACGGCAGGGGACACCAGAAATCGGCTTCACACATTGTACCCATGTGGGGAATCGAACCTGGGTCTTTAGCATGACAAGTGAACGCTTTAACCACTAGGCTACCCCACCGCCCCTTAATCCACAGGAGTTATCTCACTTTGTAGAAGCAGAGGAACCTTACACTTTTTCTCATGGTACCATGACAGGAAGGTACTCTTGGATTCCTGTGATGGATGGGTGAGCTGAATCCTCAAGTGTTGGATATTAGAGCTGTGCAATATTACCAGTGTAACAGGCCAAAGTTTCCCCCTGGCCAAACCTTCAGTAGTATAGGGAATGGGGGTTCTGTGACAGGCCGATTAAGAGCGTCATTATATATCTATTCCGCTTCCAGCCCCCAGTATAAATTAACGATTTCGAGCAGAGACACCATTCGATGCACATCCCAGACCCCTATAGGAGCCTCAAAATCTGTAGGGTAACATGAGTTTCGGCAACCCCCGGGCCGGAACGAGGACTGCAATACGTCCCCAAGCCGCAGACGGTGCCGGATGCTAAGCAGCCACCAGTTACCCCCGGTCATAGAATGGGATTCTGTGACAGGCCAACTAAGAGTGCCATTATCTACCAATTCCGCTTTGAGCAGAGACACCATTCGATGCACAGCCCAGGCCAACCACTCAGTGGTTTATGAGCGTGTGCCCGTACGCGTAAGTCGTGACGCCGTCGGCGGCGATCCACCGTTTGGTGTCCATGGGCGACAGCGACGTCTTGTTGAGGGTGATGCCGTAGATGTTGTGTTTGTCGCTTCTCAACGCATTCATTCGGTGTTTGAACGTCTTATTCTTGAACAGAGCTTGTTTGAAGAGGACGTGCTTGATGTGTTGTTTCACCACGTATTTCTTGACCCCTTTTGCCTTTCGGATCTCACCCTTATCAGCTTTCAAGATGGAGTACATCTTAGGCCTCAAGCCAACGTATTCGGTGATGGGTGTGCCAGCGCATTCGTCTTTCATCTTGCCAAGGACCTTTTTATTGATCGTGTTGTGTAGGGCATGGTCCTTGGGGTAATCGCTGGTGTCGTACAGGTGTATGTGTTTTGCCATGTCCTCATACACATCCTCGGTGTGTATATCTAGCAACAAGGAATCTGTGTCCGTGTACAGCAGCCCACATCGATCACCGTATTGCTTCTTGAGCTGGTTGTAGTAGAAATCATACATGAGATGTTTGGACAGGTCGAGAATGCTCATCCCCACGTAGACGGGTCGGTTGAGCTTGATGTGACTTTTGTTCATGTGCAGCGCCGCCAAGTCGTTATCGAATAGCTTGCTTCGGTTGAAGGCCGGGCTAGCGATCAGTTTCCTGAGTTTTTCCTCCTGCTGCGATCGTACGAGTTTGACCGTCACCCGTTTTCTCAGGTTCTCCATCGTCTTACCAAACACCGAGTTGTTCATGAGCTTATACAAGTTCTTCTCGAAGTCACTGGTGGCCAGCTTTTGCAGGTCCGTGTTCATTCTGATGTAGGGCTCCATCCAAGGACTTTGGTCAAACTTCAGCACCCTATGAATTTTGGCCAGTTTCATACCCAACGATAGGTACAGCTGCAGGTTGCGATAGTGCATGACGTACTTGGTCTTGTTCATCAAGTTCGGGACTAGTTTTTCCACCCGAGCCAGGGTGTTCTCACCCAACAAGTCCCGCTGATAGTCGGACATCCAGTCTCGCAGACCATCAACCGTTCGGGGCCAGCGGGTAGCTGTTGTGAGCAGCGTGCAATGCCTCGATACTCCAGATCCACTTCGAGGATGTAACCCTTCCTGAATCCGCGCGATGCTCGTGGATATCGATCTCATCGTCCAACCACTCAAACCCACCCGTAGGCAGAGACTGACTCATAGCCCAGCCGTACAGGTTGTTGGCGTCGAGGTAGAGGAGATGATTGGTGGGCTTGCTAGAGTCGTAGCCTTCCACGTACTTATTGTTGGCTCTTGCGTACCGTTTGGCAGCCATGGAGATCCCACCTCGCAATCCTTTTTCAATGAACAGGTGCATGTCGTAATCCGTGAGCAATTCCAGCTTAACTCCGGTTTTCTTCAGCAGCGCATCCCACGATAGACCGGGGCTGGTGTAGTACCATGCAGGGTCGAGTTGATACTGTTTCAAACACGTCCTCCTAAACGTCTCAAACACATCGGCTAGCAGGAGCACGTCCGTTCTCAAGTACAGATTGTGGTAGTCACCCAGATTCTTACATCCCAGTTTCTCCCACACGTTCTGGCGCTGCGGACGTAATCATCCTGGGAGATATGGGATTCGGTCAGGTTGCTGTAAAATTGGCCGATAGGAGGTAATCAGGTCTCATCGAACTTAGGCCAATCATCCATGTACTCGTATGGGTACACACCCTTCCTCATCAGCAGGGGCGAGTCTCGGCATTGGTGTATCGATCAGTGATGGGGAAGGTGTCATTGGCTTTGACCAAACTATCGAGCGATGATAGGAGGAACTGAGTGCTGTCAATGAATCTCAGACCGTTGAGTGAGAATGAGATGTATTTTTCCATGTTGTTGGGGATGCACTTGATATCACCGTCGACCTTTGAGATGGCCTGCATGATCAGGTGGGCATCGTACCCTCTCAGATTGTGGAAGACCACGGGGATGTTGATTGTTTTGGGGTTGATTCTAAGCTGGAGATTGCACGCGTTATGGGCGGCACCTCGGTACCGGCCGGTGATGTGGCAGTGATCTCTCACGACATCCCCATTCAGCAGCCCCTGACATATGTGGCAATTCTCAGCACGCTTGTGAGCGACTTGGTCCTTCGGCATCATGCGCATGGGGGCAGCGGTGTACAGCCTTTTCCTAATGATTTTCTCTTCCTGTTGCAAACACATCAGGAATCGTTCGCCGCCGCCAGGACCTCGGTAGATGACTGGAGCATTCGTTTGTCCATCACATCGATCGACCACGTACCGAACCCGCAGGCTTGGTGTTCTTGGGTCTTGCACGTAAAACTTTGCTCAGTGTTGGGCGCGTGGTGGTCGACCGTTTGATGAGGGCTTCAAGTCGCGTAGATCATGTAAGGCACAGGCATCTGATGTTTGTGGTTGGTGAATTTCAAGATGTTGTCGCCTTCCTTAGGCATGTCAATTCGGATCGCCGTCTCTCCTACACCTAGGCAATCCCCTGGTGCGCTTTGCAGCAGGCTCGCTCGCGTAAAACCGCAGAGACATCGTTCGCAGAAGTGTTTCTTTTCTCTGTGCATCGATTGATCGTGCAACAGTCGGCTCAGATTTTTATTGCCGTGTAGTGATACTGGCCGTCTTTTTCGATGAGGAATATATTGGTTCTACACGACGGTTTTATCATCCACAGGGCTTATCCTATGCACGATGGTTTTGTCGCCTTCGGGCGAACACATTGATGGCCACCTTGTTCTGCTTTTCAAATTGCCCAGTAGGAGATGGGTGTTAAGCGCTCTACACCCGTGAAGTCGAACCGGATTCTTCGATCGATGGATAGCTGGAACGCCTGCCCGGATTGCCCGTTGGTTTCGCGCGTAGCAGCTATGACCGCCACCACCGCACAGTAATCGTTAACATCATCGCCTTGGGTTTTGGGGTTAACGAGGGCCTTTTTAGCCTTGAAATGCTTGGGCACCGGTATGTGCGACCCACCTTTGAGCGGCATGTAGTTCGCTATGTCGAGATAAACGGTGTTGATTTTGTCTACCACCCATCCAGAGCCCATATGGGTATATCTCTCCAACGACTCTTGTATTTTCTGCAACGATGCGTCGATGGAGGATTCAATCAATTCTGGTTGGGTCAGGGCTTCCTGTTTGCCTCTGAAATAAGGTGCAACGTACTCAGTACTGCCGTCCGTATTCTGTTTTTGGAGCTCCATTTTCATCGTTAGTTGGTACTTGATGCTTTTCAAGTCGCCTAGTTCTTCGCGGAGTTTACTAGCGATGGGGGGTTTGACTGTACCGAATCAATATTGGAATCAACCGTCATTATCCAACCCCGGAGATACTTACCCACGGCGTGCTCCGTCTGCACAAATCTCAACTCGACTGGCCTGGTGTCTTCCAGCAAGGTGATCAGCTCGGCTCTTCTCATGCGGGAATAACCCTTCAATCCGCGTTCTTTAGCACGGAGTTTGAGGTCTCGCACGGTAGGGGGCTTGGTATATTTCATATCGAGCAAGGTGAGCAGTTGGGGTTTCCTAAGGCGGGAATAACCCGTCAGTCCACGACTTTTGGCGAGAGCTTTGAGTTCGATGACAGTAGTCATGGTGTATACCATATCGCGGAGCCACATGTCTAATAGGGCGTTTTCAATGTGCAGATAACCCTGTCAGCCTTCAAAAAATGAAGCGCACCTTAAACTTTCGTCCTGAGCAGCCGGTTACGTTCGTTGAGGTAGTCTTTCTTCTTATCGTAAATAAGTTGGTTTCGAACTACGTCCCTTCCATGGTCTTTGCACAACCCATAATGTCCTTTGACCCCTATGCCGCATACTTTGCAAACATAATTGACATGACCCTTTCTCACACAGTGGGCATGCGAGTGGCAATATTCAGTCATACAGCGTTTGCCGCAGGTTGTGGGCTTGCCGAGCAATACCCATTTGCAATAATGAGTTCCCACGGGCCACATGTTGTATACCTTATGCGGAGTCAAATGTCTAAATGAATGTTACTACATATGAAAGGGGTCCGGGGTTTGGGGTTTGGGTGTTGCTGGCTTGTCGGTCGGTGTGTGAAAGGGGGAAACTGGTTTGCTATGCTTCCAGGTCTTGTGGATGACCTTCCAGAGAGATACGGCAGCTATCGAAACATAGGTTAACTTTTGGGCTGATTCTACCATCTCCCGCACCTTCTGGATACCCAGACGGGTGTCTTCTTGTTCCTCTTCTATTTCCTCCAGGACTTCGTCATTGTCATCATCCTTGTCCAACCTCGACAGGATGTCAACCAACAAATTCGTGGTAGTCGACGATGTATTCGCGGTTTGCTCCACACGAGTCTCGAGACTCCCCAGGCGATCGTAGAAGTCCTGGATGGTTGGTAACGTACTACCAGGTATTGTTACTTTCGATCTATCCCGAGTCACCTTTTGTGGTTCGTCGACCGGCAACGATACTTGTTGGTTGTCGCCTGGCAACGATACTTCTGGTTCTTCGATCGGATCTCTCCATATGTCGTAGAGTCTTGTGGACCCAATACCGAAGCGCTTTTTAACCTCATTTGCTGGGAGCACCCCTCGAAGGGAGCGTATTTCTTGGATCTTATCCGAAGGCAAATCTCTTTTTGGTGGCATGGTTGTTTTTTCCTAGGCATATATATACCCATACTTCCTATATGCCTATATGGGAATCCCAATCCTCTCCCAGGAATCCCAATCCTCCCAAGGAACCCCAACCTTTTCCCAGGAAACTCCTAGCAATGCTTAGCAATGCTTAGCAATGCTTAGCAATGCTTAGCAATGCTTAGCAATACTTAGCAAATGCTTAGCAATACTTAGCAACCCTCTAGGTTATGTCTAGTGTACCCAGTTTGTCTAGTGTGCCCTAGTTTCCCATATAGACAATTTTTTGCGAATGTAGATATATAGCACAACCAAATGCCTCCCAAAAGACAACTATCGCAAGACCAGGTGGAGGAGATTCGCAAGATGCGTGGAAAAGTCCCAGCACAAGAAACGAGACAACGATTCGGCATCGGTTCCAATCGACTACGCAAAATATGGAATACAGCCCCTGGAGAGAAAGCGTCGACCCCCCGCACAGACGCAGCCACTAGCGAGACGTCTGCCGGCAGCGTATTGCCCGCTGCAGAGCCAACTGTGCTCCCCGTCCAGGACTTCTACGAATGCTTTGGGAGGCTCGTGTGGAGCAAACTGCGGTGATGTGGTGTACATCGAACGATGTCTCTGCTTGAAAACGTAGAGGTGCATGGGTTGAACATCGAATGGTGTCTCTGCTTGAAAACGTAGAGGTGCATGGGTTGTGCATCGAATGGTGTCTCTGCTCAAAGCGGAATTGGTATATAATGACGCTCTTAATCCCCTTTCTATGACTGGGGAACTGGTGGCTGCTTAGCATCCGGCGCCGTGTACTGCAGTCCTCGTTCCCGCCCGGGGTTGCCGAAACTCATGGTACCCTACAGATGTTAAGGCTCCTATAGGGGTCTGGGATGTGCATCGAATGGTGTCTCTGCTCGAAATCGTTAATTTATACTGGGGGCTGGAAGCGGAATAGATATATAATGACGCTCTTAATCGGCCTGTCACAGAACCCCATTCCCTATACTACTCCTTCCCCGGTGAAACTTTGGCCTAGGACAAACTTTTCCCCCTAGGCTTAATCTTCCCCGCGGAAAGTTTGTCCTAGGCCAAACTTTCCCCACCCTTGAATCAACTTTAAAGGCTACTGGTTTCAAACCCTTGTTCTTATATCAAAAGAGGGAGATTCTGGCTATTTCTTCCCCAACCTTGTTTTCATGTTTATGTCCGTCTTGAAAAAGTCAGAAATGAAAACAAGACATAGCTATTATGCTTTTAAGCAAGTATAAAAGCAAAGATATTATACCATTACTATTGCTTTATATTATCATTTACTTACTTATATATTTCAATAATTTATTTATCCCCACTGACTTCAAATTGGTTTATCTCCAAATCATTACTATATTTGAAACTTTAACTAAATACCCAGTTTTCACTTGGATGTCCATATCCATTCAAATTTTTTTCCATCACTCATGACTTTAAATATGGCATCCATGTCAGCGACATCAACTTAACAGTTGGAAGCAGATGTAAACATCAACACAACAACAACAACCCAACACAATATATATCTATATCAAATGCTATATCATCTACCATTCCACTATAGTGCCTTATTCAAAATTCAAAAGACAAGGTTTGATATGGTGTATACTTGGCCCTTGGATATCTGAATCATATTTCATTCACCACAAGTGATTATGGATTAGTAAACAAGTTTATGTGAATAATTGAATCATATTTCATTCACCAAAAGTGATTATGGATTAGTAAACAAGTTTATGTGAATAATTTTCCATTACATTTATATATAAATATAACAAATATTAGATACTAAAGACAGCAAGCAACCTGTGTATAAGACATCTTATTTACCCATCAAATGTGCGATTGAATGTTTACATCTTGTGGCGACATGATTTGGACAGATGAAGAACTAATGCAATGTGTCTTCATAGGATTGGCGGCATGAGCATGATGGATTTAGAGATATATGCCGTTCAAACATGTATGCATTCAAATCACTACACCCAAGACAGAGGCAAAAATGGACTATTTGGTAAAAATGTGTACCAAAATATAAGTCAAAATTACTGTTGGTTTATAAGAGTAAGGGTGGGGAAGAAGTGGCCTAGCTAGGCCAGAATCAACCCACTTTTCAAAGAAAACAGAACTAAATATCCTAGTTTAAACAGGGGGGAAAGTTTAGCCTGGGGGAGAAGAGAGACAGGACTTTAGCCTAGCCCAAACTTTCCCTGGGGAAAGAATATCCTGGGACAAAACCTCCCCGGGGTAAGTTTGGCCTAGGCCACATTCTCCCCGAGGAAAGTTTAGACCGGGGAAGAAATGGCCTGCTACACCAGTACATTATCTCGCAATATGAATATCGCAATATGGTTCATTAATAATGGGTCATCAAGTTATAGCTCCCTTTCAATGATCTGTGCTTGATTTCCATAGCAACAAAAAGTGCTCTGATAGTGCCAAATATACTGATGATTTCTGATGGTTTCATGTAACATTTGACAAGTGGAAGCATCATTATAAGTGGCTCCAAAAGTGCCAAATATGCTACCAAATGCTTAAGCAGTGATAAATCTATAATTTTTAGTGTGTGAGTCCTAGGACTCACTCTGTTGAAAAGTAATTGATCCTTTTGACATTTTTATGAGTCCCTCAAACTTTACAAAATTAAAGGATCAAATAATCAAAACCAACAAAGAAGGAACTTTCTGATTTATTTCACGCACAGAAAGAAATGACAATAAAAAACACACAAACTGGCCTGTAAGTCATCAACGTATTTACATGCTTTCAGTTCGTAAATCACCTGTCGTTTGATTGCATCCACTTTGAAAGAGCAGAGCCTATGTTTATCAAGGAAAATATCAGCTTGTAAAACATGTCATACACCATTTGAAAGGTCTTATCCTACTGTTTATAAATATGAAAGGTATTTTTTATCATAGTATTCAAAAAACACAACTAAAACTTAAATAAGTTAATATGGCCAGTGGAAATGCAGAACAAAATCTTCCCACGATGGGCTACTGGATACAAACTACCGAGAGACCAGTTCTTCCACATTTTGCCCGTTTAAGGAAAAATATATCCGAGTACGGTAGGAGTTTCTGTTTTCTCGCAATGCATTCTAGATCTTCCAAGGACCTGTATTCCACGCTGGGTTTTGTTTTTGCTGTGGCATTGCGGAATTCCTCAAATAGGAAGCAAGGTGGATTCCCTCTGTTGTATACAATATTCATTGCTGCAAAATACATGGTTTTATATGTATATTACCAATTGCATACAGATATATATTTTTTTCTTCTACGCCATGTAGCAGGGGTCTCCGGGTTTGGCCGTGCAAACTGGTTTGGGCATTTCTGTTTTCTCGTCAGCCTGTCTGACGATCGGTATGTGAGCCGGTGTGCAGTGCTTCCAGGTCTTGTGTGTAGCGGCCATAACATTTCCAAGTCCCTTGCTGGGATTCGAACCACAGACCTTCTGCTCCGAAGACGGATGCCTTGTCCACATGACCAAAGAGGTTAACCCTGTCAGCAAGCTGACGAGGTAAGGATGTCATCTGAGGGATGACTCCACGCCCTGCTACATGCTCCCCCGTCAACAGAAGGCACGTCCCGGGCCGCATAGTTGGGTTCCAAGACTTATTTTGCTCAAATTTGATATGAACGTGCTCAGCCCCACGTTGGGCGCCAATGTAGAGGCCATAAAATTTCCAAGTCCCTTGCTGGGATTCGAACCACAGACCTTCTGCTCCGAAGTCGGACGCCTTGTCCACATGACCAAAGATGTTAACCCCGTCAGCAAGCTGACAAGGTAAGGATGTCATCTGAGGGATGACTCTATGCCCTGCTACACTGTTACTTTGAAACATTATTCGTGAACACTGGTAGACATTGATTAAAAATGTCCGTCAGTATCTCTCCTCTCGCATTTATGCAGATAGTTGTTGAAATCAGAGGGAAAACAGGTACTCACTTAGGGATTGAAAGAAGAAATGCACACTGTGAGACAGAATAAGTTTTTATCTCATTTGCAAATACATATACACCAGTAAACCAATGAGATATGTATACTGAACCGCATAAAAAACGCAAGTTTTTCAAAATGAATAAATATTCGATAGAACATTGTTAAATATTATAGGGTAACTACACATTGGTTACCTTTGTTGTGAAAAAACAGTTTGTTAATGTTTAGGTTCTGTTTGGTGATTTCTCTTGGATATTGCACATCGCCAAAACGCAGCAATTGAATTGGCCGTGGGATGTGGTTGCAGAAGTTTTTCATGAAAATCATGATGTGCATTATGTAACGGACACATAGGGGTATAAATATGCCCTCAAATCAGTTTGAAATCACTCCCGACAAACGCCCACCAAGAATGCCAAGGTTAACGACGCAACAGGGAACAAGCCATCGGCCATCTTGAAGCTGGACAGAGTGTTGCAGGTGTTGCCAATGCATTCCATGTGCACATAACGACCATCTACCGTCTTCAGGAACGTTTTGCTGCTACACAGACCACTGCTGACCGCCAACGTCCTGGACGTCCGAGAGTCACAACACCACGGCAAGATCGACACATTCAACGTTCGCACATCGGGGATCGATTCTTATCTGCCAACAAGACTGCCCGATATTGGACGTCACAACCGAGCAATAAGCGGAGATACAGTTCGGCGCAGACTCAGAGCAGTCCACCTCCGTTGTCGTCGTCCAGCTCGACGTCCTATCCTCACACCGAGACATCGTCAGAATCGTCTGCAGTGGGCTACGTTGCATCGAAACTGGCGTCATCAACAGTGGAGACTGGTATTGTTCTCTGATGAAAGTCGGTTTTGCATTTCTCATGCTGACGGCCGAGTTCTAATATGGCGAAGACGAGGTGAACGCTTTGCTGACGAATGTGTAATGCAAATGGAATGACCAATGGAACATATGTCTCGATCAAAGTGATATGGTTTGAGGATAACTAAGACAAGAAGACAAAGTCATCAATATCCCCGCAATGGCAAAATACTCTTCATGATTATGTCTATGAGTTATGATTATGTCAAATATTTAGGTGTGTATATAGAAAAGTGGAAGGAGAGTATTGAAAGGTTTTTAAAGTTCTGCTCCAGAAAGGAGCACTATCACCAATTTCAGTCTATGTCAAACTTGTTGCCAAGGAAATGCCAAAAATATTTTTTCAGAAATCCAAAACTACCAAAAGGCACCAGTATACCACCAGATCTATCTATGTGCCAAGTTTGGTGAAGAAATAGTGAACGGTTTTAGAGTTCTGCTCCGGAAAAGACAAATGTGCACGGAAGGACGGAAGGACGGACGGACGGAGTCTATTTTAATACCCCCCGCAAAACGCGTTGTGGGGGATAAAATAATGCTGAAGGAGATATGCGTGATAATCATTTTGTTTTAGGAATGTTTGTGTATACCGTATATTACTGTAGATAAGCTGAATTTTGTGGACAAAAAAAAGCAGTCTGTAGAAGGGGTTTGGCTTATCTATGGGTTACACTTTCGTCAAACTTTTTCCAGGGGGTAAGATTAGAAAACAACATTGTATCGCTTCGTGTGAACAAAAATACAAGAGAAGACGACTTTGTCAGAGAAGACGTCAAATTTGCAATTAAACATCACTAGACAAGGTAATTTACCTTAAAAGTTCTATGTTGTTTTTGCTGGGCATTGTATTATTTGCAGGGATTAAGATTACCGTGTGTATTTGTCATGTATACACAGCCGGAAATAGCAATCGGCTGTGCAGACGTTTCCCGGCGATTTAGTTAAAACATACACAATAATATAACGGGATGAATTCTGACGCATTGATCAGTAAAATATAATACATAAAACTATTATTTAACCCAAAGAAATATATCCTAGAATTGTGTAATTCTAAATATAGGTTTTGTTCCATAAATGTAAAATATATATAATCAACACTAACGTTATACGGACCCTCATAAACATGGTAAGTGGAAGTTGTAGTAGGCGTATGGAATGAGGTAAAATAAGTATGCCATTTAAATTCACACACGTTTTTACCGATGTTACTGTAAACTAGTAGTCCATGGAAAATGAGGCGGTAATCAGTTCGTTATTTTTGATAATATGATGTGAAATTGGCTATCAAAGTTGGAGCAAAAAACGTACCCTTACAAACGCGATAAGTGGAAGTTGTATGCACATGGAATGAGGTAAAATACGCGAGCCAGTTTGTTGACATGTGATCGTTCAGCAACAACAGGTATGATATATAGCGAAACAAAATATCCATTTTCTGTCAACTACACTTCATTTCGAGGCTTTAGTAGACGCAATATGATTGTGAATTCTTTGAATAATGCTGACCGAAGTTATAATTATCGGTAACTGCCAGTTGTCTGTGGTGTGTGTTTGTCGTGCTTAGGACCCCATCGCGGGGGGTTGGCTTATGCACGAAACATACCATTTTGACACTGATTTAAGGGTCAAGTTAGGAGGTCGGCTTATCTACGGTAATATAAGGTAACTGAAATAGTGAACTGCCTTCAACAACTGAGAAGTCAACCCGCTGTTGACTAACTGGCAGTCCAACATGGAACTTTTGGATGGTCAACACATAGTACACAAACCATCATTAGGTCTTCAGACGAAAGTCTGGAAGACCTACTGTTATTATCCGAATTATTATTATTCTTCCTTATTATTATTCCAACCATTTTTGTGACAGCTCTCCTGACCTAACCGGTGGGTCGATTTTCATGAAACGTTCAGATATGATAGCCTGTATGCTGAAATTGATACATAGTCGAAAAAAATCCTGACTTCCCGCTTCCGGTAAGGGAAGACAACCCAAAATGTCGAAATCTTTACACCTGAATAACTCAAAAACTATAAGAGATAAATTGACCAAATTTTCACTCAAAGTAGATAACACCATTCCCCATCGATTCAACACATAGCGGAAGTTGGCCGTCATAATAGATTTTCCGCAATTTTGAGAAAACTGAAATTTTTGCCGATTTGCACGATTTGACGGTGCCTGTCTTTGAAAATCTTCTTCTCCAGAACGGCATATAGTACAATCTGGTTCGATATGCCGTTGGAAAGCCGATACTCTGGACTACTTAGTTTGCTCAAGGCATGTGAATATCTTGAATTGTTTCACAGTTATCGCCCTTGGAAGTTAGTGAATATTTTAAGACGCATTTTCATAGGGTTAAAAAAAAGGTCACAACTCTGCGAAAAATCAATGGATTCCATTGTCCATAGTATCAAACTGTAGGTAATTGAATGGGACACATTTTGCTTCACATCATGGTTATGTAAAAATCAATAATTACGTCACCAATACGACACAAGCACAACCTTGGCGATTTTGCACATTTTCGCACGTTTTGACGGTGCCTGTGTTTAACAATCTTCTTCTCCTGAACGGCAAATAGTACAATAGTGTTCTGTATATCGTTTTAAAGCCAAAACTCCGGACTACTTAGTTTGCTCAAGGCATATCGATATCTTGAATAGTATCGGAGTTATTACCTTTGGAAGTTGGTCAATTTTGTCAAACGCATTTTTATAGTGTTTATAAAAATGTCACAGCTCTGACCTAACCTCTGGGACCATTTTCATGAAACTTTGAGGGATGATAGCCTGTATGCCGAAATTGATACAATGTTGAAAAAATCCCGACTTCCGGCTTCCGGTAAGGGCAGATTACCAAAAATGTCAAAATATTTCAAAATCTTCCAACCTCAATATCTCCAAAACTATAAGAGATAAATTAATCAGGTTTTCACTCAATGTAGACAACGTCATTCTCCATCGGTTCAAAACATAAAATCAGTCGGACAGCAGAAGAAATTTTCCGCAATTTTGGAAAAACTGAATTTTTTGTCGATTTTCCATTTTAACGATGCCTCCGTTTAAAAATCTCCTCCTCCTGAACGGCATACAGTACAATAGCGTTTGATATATCGTTGTAACGCCCAAACCCCGGACTACATAGCCTGTTCAAGGCATGTCGATATCTTGAATAGTTGTGGAGTTATCACCCTTGGAAGTAGGTGAATTTTCTAAGACACATTTTCATAGGGTTCATAAAAATGTCACAGCTCTGCGAAAACACAATGAATTGCGTTTTTCAAGGTACCAAACTGTAGATAATTGAATGGGGAAAATTTTTGCTTCACATTATTGTCATGTAAGAGTCAATAATTACGTCACAAGCACGACCATTCGGACTGTTCGCATTTGGTTAGTGGTGAGATAGCTGGTGAGATAGGTGAAGGAAGCGCCAGGAAAATATAGCATCATTCACCGCTTCCTTGCTTTCCAATGCCCATAGAAACAGTTCCCTCTTTAACAGGACGTAGCTCCGTTCTTCTTAGGTCTACAGTCAAAAGAGTTAGTGTTCTGGAATTGGCAGAATCTAATCTCTCCAGCAGTCTGTCCTTTGCTGTGCTTGGCTGTGCGTTCCTGTTTGTTTCTCTGCAGTTTCTGTCAGCTGCATTGAATCAGCCAAATTAGGGCGTCAACATTTCACATTAACTAACATTTACTTTCTTGGTAATTCTGTGTCAGAAACACTGTAATGGGTGGTCCAGCTGGCGCCCAAAGAAACAGGATAAGTAAAGGTAGCCACGGGGGTGTATATGGGGAAGTCTGAAGACCGCCAGTATTGCCCAGGAGGCAATCCTAGTTATTATTATTATTATTTGTACAGATTTTGTACCCGCTCCCCTGACCTAACCGCTAGGTCGATTTGCATGAAACTTTCAGGGATGATAGCCTGTATACTGAAATTGATACAATGTCACCATTACGACACAAACACAGCCTTCGCGATTTCGCAAATTTCCGCACCTTTTTGACGGTGCCTGTGTTTAACAATCCTCTGCTCCTGAACAGCAAATAGAACAATAGTGTTCTATATATCGTTTTAAAGCCCACACTCCGGACTACTTAGGTTGTTCAATGCATGTCGATATCTTGAATAGTGTCGGAGTTATTGCCCTTGGATGTTGATCAATTTTTGGCAAAACGCACTTTTATAGGGTTCACATCTCTGCGAAAACACAATGGATTTCCTTTTTTGAAGGTACCAAACTGTAGACAATGAACTGTGGAACAATTTTGCTTCACATTATTATTATGTAAAAGTCAATAGTTACGCCACAATTACGCCACAAACAGGGAGGGACATTAGGATTTTCGCATTGTCAGTTGTGAGATAACTAACTGAAGGAAGCGCCAGTAAAATCTAGCAACAATCGCTGCTTCCTGGTATTCCAGTGCCCACAGAAACATTTCCCTCTTTAACAGGCCGTAACTCCGTTGTTCTTAGGTCTACAGTCAAAACAATTAGTGTTCTGGAATTGTCAGGAAGTGATCTCCCCAGCCTGTCTGTGACAGGAATAGGCGTGACTTTTTGACCACAACAAATCTACAATGTTTACCAGTAATCTTGTTTAGTATATGTCTGTAGATATTGCTGTATTATTTTGCTTTGTTTGACTGTGTCTTCCTGTTTGTTTTTCTGCAGTTTGTGAATTTTCCGTTTGTGTCAGCAGCATTGAAACAATGCCAAATTAATCTCAAAAACACTGTGATGGGTGCTCCAGCTGGCATTCATAGAAACAGTACAAGTAAAGTTAGCCACGGGGAGTGTATGGGGAAGTCTGAAGACCGCCAGTATTGCCCAGGAGGCAATCCTAGTTTTACTTCATTTTATCACAGGTTGATTTAAATTGTCAGTCAAATTTTCAACTTCATGCAATAATGTCAGATCCACATATTTTCCCATCACAATATGTTTAGTAGATCTGGAGAAGTGATTTTTAGTTACTGTGCGAACAGACAGAAGGACAAAGATTCATACTACAAACTCACATTAATGATGTCAAGCTGAGCTAGAAACTAAAGGATCAACACAACACACACAAGGGGTTTGTGTCAAGTTTTGTACCTTTCAGTCTTCCTGACGTGTAATCCTCCCATGCAGCACTATCTGAACCAAAGAAGTCTCCAACACACATCAACACCTAAAATAGAAGGATACAATTCACATACACCTTCATCCTCGATAATCTCCATGGTATACTTTCTGATAAATCTCCACTATACCTTGGATGCATTTACGGCTCGAGCCGATGATTTTATTACCTCCCTTGGTTGGATTTTTATCCAATCAGGCGTCCAAGCTGGGAAGTTGAGCGTACCAATCACAACTCACTTTCACTTTTTAAATTATCTAACCGATTAAACTTGGCAACATAATAATATTTTGTTGCAGAGGTATTCTGAAAGAGGTAGAAGGAGTTCTTGCATATATTTTTTTAAGGTTTCAGACCTGTCAATTTGTCTGTATGTTTTCCCCCCAAATCTGAGTCGCACTGCGAACAAACTTCCGCGGCTGTGTCCGCTATCTTTGTTGACACTGGCAAGCTCGGTTGTAATGGCGGCTTATCTGATTAGCTACTGTGAGAATGCGGAGCCAGCAAAGGGAGGTAATACAATCATTGACTCGAACCATAGATGCATCCAGGGTATAGTGGAGATTTATTGGAACGTATACCCTGGAGATTATCGAGGATGATACACCTTCAGAGGACACAGAAATAATTGTATTTCAACTAAAGAACGTTAATAAATATGAATGGTATTTTTAGGTAATACAGGTAAACACAAATCATTTACATGCCTTAAGGCCACATATATAATTAACTGAACAAGAGAAAAGCTTGATCATTAACATAACTAATACCTATACTTTTGATGACTTGAGTCCCATCCGGGATTTGAACCCACACCTTCAGACTCTGTTCACTCTGGAGTCTAGAGAAGCCATCATATTTATACCAAATCTCGAGTGTACCCTGGATGTTCCCGCAAATATGTTGTCTGTACATTATCTGTGTGTTTGTCATAAGTTACAAATAAGTACAATGCAGTCCCTGATTCGTACAATACGTTGGCATTCGCTATGAGTCCATTCAGCATGCGTTATATCTGCACTGCAAGTACACTATGCATACGTCCAATATACACAGTTCATAGCTTGTGCTGCGAGATCAGCATATAACCTCGTATGAATCACTTATCTCCCACGCACACATAGCATACTCATACCACTCTTCACTGATGCGAGACTGATGCTCTGAATATTTATAACTTATGACCTGCGTAACAGCATACGCAGCATTGTTTTGTTCATGTCCAAAACTATCAGGCATATTGTGCGGTACTGTGCACATGCCAACCTACATAAAACTTCCACGAACGATTGAGATGCATATGAGGTGAGTATTGTGTATTAAAGAGAAGTAATTTGTGAATCTGATTCCGCTCCATGATACCTTTCATAATTCACCCAGTAACTGTAGGGAGTATTACCTTTGTAATAGGCGCCTAGCGTATGAGAGATGTAAAACAGATGCCCAGTGACAGCAGAACGATGCAGATGTGTGACAAGTGTCAGTTGGCTACTGAAGTAATATGCTTTGTGTTGTGTTTTATAATTAGTCTCTTTGCGTGGTCACTATTTCTTGTCTGCAGGTTCTGTGTGAATGATTCCTGACAGGCTTTCCGAATTTAACTCAATTAAAGTCACAAAAATAGAGTATTACGATTCCATACTTGTTTATTAAAAAAAATGTATAAGGAAGTTAGATCAAAACAAACCAGTGGCTAAGGAACAATGCTACATATTTCTCCCCCTTCCCTGCCTACCTAAATCCTTCTTAAACTCAGTTAACTTCTGATTACGTCCACCCCCTTTACCTACTCCCGAAAATAACAAAATACAACCTACTTATTCCTACTCTATTTCTACCCCTCCCCAAACTACCACTAAATCAATACGATATCCCCAAAACAATAAACAATATGTGGAAACTTATGAGTTGGTCTTGGTTCAAGACACGAGGTTGTAGATTCACTTACCCGATGCGGGTATCAGACGACTGACGATTCCCTACCTGTAGGCTTATACATGACTGGGGAAATCCAGAATTTGGCCAATGCGCACGCTCCTTGCATCCCTGCCCCTCAAGATGGCTGAGCATGCAAGAAGCGTGACATCGTCATGTCTCCCCAGGCACGAGGTCCGCATGGGTGAAAGCTTCTACACATGTGACTACAAAGGTAGGTACTACGTCAGCTGCCCACCCAACTACCTAACCTACCCCACCCACTATGTAATTATGATATTTACCCCCAAAGACGTCCACACCTTCCAACCTTGAACCTGACTTTTGTATCTGATGCCATGTGAGCTGTACAACATGTGCTCTTGAGTGAGGGTGTGTGTGACACCCTGATGCCATGCAGCTGTATCTGATACCTGAACCCATGAATTAAACTTATGAAACCAGAACCAGCATTTACTATTTTTCAGGAAGACTCTCTATCCAGGAAAGACAGAATAATTCCAACGGAATGGACCTTACACGAAGAGGCCTTCAAGCTGATCACGCAAAGATAGGAGACTCTGGTGAGAGATCTATTCGCCACGTGTGTCCACTCCTCAGGAAGGAAAGGAATCTTAGACATGGTACCATCAAAGGATACAGATCCGCGATTACTTCATTTTGTGATATTCAGGGATAAGGTGTTGGATTTAATAACCCCCCGCATAAACTTATCAGATCACTCAAGATTAAAGATGCGACCACTCCCACCTTGTTTCCAAAGTGGGATCTCTGTTTAGTGCTCGAATCATTGCAAAGGGCCCCGTATGAGCCACTCCAGAATGCGTGGCTAAAATTCCTCTCCTTCAAGACGGCTTTTCTATTGGCTTTTGCTACAGCTTCAAGAGTGTCTGAACTCTATGCTCTATACTTCAGATCAATCATTTTTGCGGATGGCTCTAAACAGATCACGTGCAGAACTCTTCCTGCTCATTCCCTCCTTTCCTTGTGTGGGATTCAGGCAACCACAATCCAGAGGGAATGTTACGCCTATAATTGAAACAATTACAAGTATTGTTAGTAATTGGTAGTAAACTTACCTCTGGATTATAGGGTTTAGCTTCCTTCCTTTTATCTTATCCTCCCCACTAATCATTGCAGAAGATTCTGTTATTCATAAAAATTGTGAGGTTTAAAAGGGCATGCTCTGACGACATGAATTAAGGGGTGAAAACTCCAGACGATGAGGGCATACCACCAGGATTGTTTTTCTTTTCCATTTTTTCTGCATGTGTCTGTGGTAACCACAGGAATAAGGCAACCATTATCCAGAGGTAATTGGACTAACAATTACTAACAATACTTGTAATTGTTCCTAAACAAGAAATAAAATTGGTCTGGCCTTATGATTTACCTTGCAATTTTGATGTGTTTTCCAATTAGCAAAGTCTGTGTCATTGTTATTATTTAAATAAAGTAATAGCTTACAAGTTAAGAGAAAGATATGCTGACAGCCATATTCCCATGGGTAAAGGCACCCCTGATGTAATCATCAAAAGATTTGCTCATAAATGTATTTACCTCAAATTTTCCTCCTTTCTTCTGAAGGCTATTGACTCGCTTAAATAGGGCGGAAAATTGTCCCTTGACATCACCACACACCAAACTGAAAAACAAAATCTGAAATTTATATAATGTGTCAAATAGTTAAAAAAATAAATAAGTAACATGTTTCTGACACAGGCTATGCTACTTAAGTACATATTCAAGGGTACTTTCCAACTTCAGTTTTTCATTTCATAAACAACAATATATTCATACTAATGACAATTTCAATCTCTATAGAGAGAAAGAAAACACTTTTGCCTCGATGAATTGCATTGGCCAACATAACAGATTATGAGAACATTTTAAATCATAGTAGGCTATATTTAAACTATAATGTTAAACTATACACTCTTACCCTATAAGTAACATATTTGTTTTCAATCATTCAAACACCTTTATCCTGTTAATAAAGATATCAAAACCATTCATAATACAACATAACACACACACAACATAAAATACAAATATACTGGGCAAAAAAAGAAACGCAAAAGGGTAAAATCAAGGTATGCTTATGTTTAATTCAAAATCACTTTACTCAATACATATTGAATCCACAAATATATGATTTCACAGAAATATCACCACATGTATCAATGTAGAGTAATTTCCAGCTTCTTGAACGCTACAACATCATCACAAAGTCAGTATGTAGTATGGCCCTGACTAGCAGCTGTCACATCTCTGCATCTCCTGGGCATAGACTGTACCACTGTCCTTTTTCGACACTGTGGAATCCTTCTTTATTCTTCATCCAATGCTTGGCCCAACTTTTGAAATGTCTGAGGTTGAGGTCATCATATTCGTACACGTCTATCGAGCTGGCCCATAAATGTTCGATAGGGTTGAGATTGGGGGATTTTGAGGGCCATGGGAGCACATTTACGTTGTTGTTGGCAACAATATTCCTTGTAGCAGGTGCGACGTGTGGTCCTGTATTGTAATGTTGGAACATCTCATGTCAGATGTCCTTATATCGCCCTGTTTCAATTGTAATAGGCATCTCTGCTCAGTGACAGAACCTTGCGTTGTGTACTTTTTTATGTAATGATGGTAAAGTAGCCAACTTCAAGTATGATCTATGAATCAGGCCTCATTGCTGGTAAAAACATAACAAATAGAAAAGAGAAACTCAATAATTTATTTACAAAACTTTAATACAGTGAATTTCTCACTCCCTAAACCTAAACTAACCTAACAACCTAACCTAACCCCTAACCTCTAACGAGACATGGCTCTGAATTTCCAATGTAATAGTCAATGAATGTAAAAAATAACCCCTAAAAGCGTATCTACTTGGTCTGGATTACCAGGAATCAAGCAATCGAAGTAAATGTCCTCACCTCTGGTGAACCAGTGGACTAAAGACAAGGAGTGCTGTGAAGCTGCTCCCTTTATAGGGCTGGAGGCAGGCAGTTCATGTGCTGCACATGCCAGGCATGCTTTGTTAACCCAACCCCAAATAGAACTAAAACTTTACCAAAATATCCCAAACTGCCACATTCCTCCACCCTTAAAGAAAGTTATTAACTAATAACTTAACATGCACATGATCTGCTTATACTTGGTGAATTTATAACATGACTGTAATATCTAGACATTTTATAGATTGCCAACATGAATCATATTTCACACACACGCCCTGAGTGCAACCTAGTGTATGTTGTCTGTCTCACTACACTTCACAGCAAAAAAAATGATTCTGTTGAATGCCATAACAAATGAATAAAAACAAAATTCGAATATCAAAATTAAAACAGACTAAAGCTATAGCAACAATATGAGGCTATTACCTTGTTCGGGGAATGTATCCATCAATAACCACATAAAGGAATGAGATGCCATTCATCTGCAGCTGACAAAGAATCCTGTTCCATGTTGTGTCTTTTAACAGTCTAATATGCGAAAAAGTGATTATCGTTTCAGGTTTTTCACATTGGTGTGTAGTCCCACTGGTCACCCAAGATAGCACACCTGGCAACTACTTGCATGATGTCCACCATTCTTTAAAAAGTAATTTAGTTAGCCAATAATGAGCAATCAATCAATATATTGGTGGTTAATCCTTTGAAGGCAGAATGTTGTTTCTACACAGACACTTTATGACACGGTGTATTCAGTATTGATTAGTAAATCTACATACATAAACACTACCTTTAGACAAATCCGCTGTGCATGATAAAAGCAATTAATCAATCAGTATGTTATCGGTTAATCCTTTGATCAATGTTTGTTTTGTAACTCAGCTGATAATTCCTGCACTTCCATGTGCATACTACATAAGATGTAATACATTTGCCAGATCAGACCTCAATTAATAATGATGAGTATTTACTCCAGACACAAGAAATGCCAAATGGGAAACTTTGTCAGGTAATCTGAGTGGTGTTACCATTAATTATACCTGTTATAAATTCATTAACATTAGGTATATAATGACAAATAACATGTGTAGGTTTCTAACACCAAACATGGGTTACAGCAAGAGAGTTGTAATCGCTGTATTGCATGCAAGTTTGATTGCCTGAAAAAAAACCTTATGGGCTGACACTGTTTTGAGGATACGAACGGATCGTTGTATAAGAAATACATATAAGCATTTGCTGTGTACTTAGTTAAAAACTGTATATGATATACCTATGTACCTAAGTAAAATTTCAGATTTTTTTAGCAATGGCAAAGTGGGGTTGTTTAGTTTATGGATTCAAATACATCAAATGTGTGTTTTTGATATCATAGCATAGGTAATAGACATCATATTTTTACATGATTAAATATCAAGGTGAAAAACACAGAAATAGAATCAAGCATTTGAAAATCTGAAAAAGCCTACCCTGCTGGGATACTTCATTACAATGTGACAAAAACTAACAGGGATATTTTCAAATAACGGCACCTGATGGGCAAACACCCTTCCTAATGTCCCACTGTTTAGGTTGAAAAGATTCTGCCAAGGTTGACAGTAGCCCAGTCCCTGTGTCCGTCACGGTTGAGGGAGCAGGGGCTCACCAGTTTGCAGCTAGGTTTCGTAATTAGACTGTTGACTGGAAACATTAATCGCTCTGGATCAGTGCCCCTTAAGGGACTCCAGTACAAAGGGCAGCATCCGGACCCGTAGGGGAGGAAGAGCATTGCCAGGATCGATGTACCGGAAGTTTTCTACCTCCACTTCTACTACTAATTTTCCTATATCTCGTACAACCGTGAGGGTACCTTTTTCTGTAAAACGGTCAGTTTTTCTGAAAAAGTCTTAAGGTAAAGAATGTAACTAGCCTAATTCATGAGAAGAAAACCCCCCAAAATGAACAACAGGCCCCTGTATACCCCATTGTTGCCCCGCACCCAAGTAATCAAACCATGCAGCACCCAACTACTCAAAACCATTGATTCCCTTAGGCCGAGACAAACATATGGACAACAGGTGGGTCAATGTGTTACAAGTTAAACATGACACTACCAAGATCCTTTTCTCCCAGAATAACACTAGTTATATCTGACCCGACAAGACATTACACTAGGCTAAGTTGAATACCTTATTCTGGGTTTTACAAGCCTCCCCAAATGAGTTCAAAGTGCTGGTGTTTGACTCATATCATCATTGTGAACATCAGCATCCATATTTACAGTATCTACAAAGGTATCTTGGTCTGAATCAGGGTCAGGTTGTGGCACATCATATCCATTGTGTGAGGGGTTTTCTACTTCCTTCAACCAACTGGGAGGAGCTGACGCCTTCATAGTCTTTTAAGTGGTCAATGTGGACACTGACCACAGGACTGGTTTGAGACTTCTGGACCCGTAAAACAAAATCTGACAGCTTGTCAACAACTAAATAGGGGCTGTCCCAACCTAATCCTAACCTTTTATTTGCCTTTGGTAGATACCACCTCCAGACAAATGTGCCTATGTCAAAAGACCTGGCCAGCTTTTCTCGAAACGTTCATAGCGCTATGAACTTCTTAAGCCCATTCTTAACACATTAGCTATGACTCAAGTTAAGAATTCCTAGGGCTACGAACGTTTCAAGAATAAGGGCCCTGGTTTTCAACCCCTAGTCATAATTCTTCTTTTGAGCAACTGCAGCTTTACCTAGTTGCTCATTTGCATACTTGAAAATATCCACGTTGTTTCCCTCACCCACTCTATGTGCTCTACTGGACATCAATTCCGTTGTGTTTGAGGATGATCGCCAACCATAACATCAATTGGTAACCACATTTCCCTACCCAACATCATGAGGTTAGGTGAACACTTTGTGCTTTTATGTTCTTTAGCACTATATGCCATTTCAATGTATGGAAGTTGATTGTCTCAATCTAGTGGCTCATCATTTGAGTAAATGGACAATATTTCTATTGAAACGCTCTAAAAGACCATCTGATTACGAGCGGTATGGAGTTGTTCTAGTTTTCTCTATTCCGAGTAAGTGGCATAAAGTAGCAAAAAGATTGTATTCAAACTCCTTTCCCTGATCAGTATGGATTTGTTGTGGACATCCAAAGCGACTAATAACCTCTGCCACCAGCTTATCACCTACAGTCTGAGCGGTATGATCACTGAGAGCGAATGCCTCCTTCCACTTGGTGTAATAATCGCTTACGACCATGATGTATCCGTTCCCATTCTAACTGGCTAGCAAAGGGCCAATGACATCAATAGCTAAACTTTCCATTGGAGCACGAGCAACAAATTGTATCTATGGTGCTTTACCACGGTCAGGGCCTGGGCCCCGTTTCACAAAGCTCTTGTAAGCCTAAGATCTTGAAACTTCTCTTGTAACATTCATACCTCCCATGTTACAGCATTTAGCACACCAATCACAACTCCTGCACCAGCATTTGACATCACTAGACATACTGGGCCAGTAAAACCTTATTTTTATGGACTTCAGAGTTCTATGGTCTACCAAAATGACCACCGGTACGACTTGTGTGCACATGTTGAAATATGTCTTCTCATACAAGACCTGGAGCTACTAGCTGTAGACGTGGACCAAAGAAATCAGATTCTACCTTTCTGTAAAGTAGGCCAATTTCAATCTGTAACACATTCCATTAA